TTCGTTAAATTGAGTGCATTTTGATTTTGAAGCATTTGTGTGTGCAAAATTAACAACAGTAAAGGATGTGGTGACTTATCATTAGAAATTGACAGCATTTGAATCTGTATGTGGTAGACAGGTGGTTGCAGTTGCAGCAAAGTTAAACGGTAATAGTTTTGGATTACCCATTATAGTTTGTATTTCGTTGTTACTTTTTTTTTTTAATTTTACTTCAGGCAAATGTCGATGTTTTTAGAGCAATATGTTATTCTTTTCAACTCGTTTTAAAGTTTTTGTTTTATCACTTTTATTTTTTTAAATATAAAGTATTAGTCGAATGCATTATTAAAAAGATAAGAATAAGTCACCTTTTTGAATGAGTAAATTCATTGTTACTACTGTAATTTCTGTTTGTTTTTCAGGAAGAAGAAGAAGAGGAGGAGGAAGACTTAGTGGTATATTGGATCACCACTTAGTTGTGGGCGATAGGGAATGTGCCGGCCCACGTATAGTGGAAATTGCCGTATAGTTGATGCTCATTGAAATTAAATTTAAATGTTTAGGGGGGGACATGTTCCAAAGTGTGTTTGGTCTCATAAGAAATTAAATAAATCCCAAAAGGGAAAAAAAAGAGTCAAGCTTATAGAGTCATGTAATTGTCATTTGCTTCTCCTGTAAGATTAAGAGAACAATCATTTAAAATTGAAAATCACATTTACATACCCCCACCCCCATACCCCCACCCTAAGTCCATATCATGCAGCCTTACTACCCTTTTTAAATACCGGTACATAATTTTGAAATTGTATGTGACAGTGTTAGTTTCTGTAATGCTGCTGTTTTGCAGGATCCCCTGGAAACGATGCGCGAAAAGTGTGCTGAGATCGAGCACTGCGTACATACTCAAGCACGTCTGGAGCAATGTGAGACCAGAGTGAACGCTCGCTCCTCCACAACGGAAGACTGCACCGAGGAGCTTTTTGACTTCCTCCATGCTAGGGACCATTGTGTAAGTGAGAAGCGACTGCCTTTTTTTTTTTTAACCACACGGTGTAAGATAAAAATGCAACCAATTCCCATTTTTATTGTGTACAGGTGGCGCACAAACTCTTTCATTCAGTGAAATGAATTCCCTCTTGCAATTGGCAGTGCCAGTGGCCCTTAAGGAGAGAATGGTTCTAAATGCATCTAAAATATTTACTGTATGTATATGTCTATGCTGTATGTTGTTTTATCTGTATGATCATGTGAGGAAACTGCAGAGCAAGTGGAAGCAATAATTAAAGTGAAAAGCTCAAGACATTTTGCCTGGTGTGTTACTTTATTTTTAAATTTAAAACAGCCGAATTTGTGATTTATGCTTAAGTAAGTTAAGCCTTCATTTCCATATCGTTTAAAAACAAATCTCACAAGAATTAAATCACCCATAGTACGGGAAGTGTTTGCCTCCATCCTGATTTCAGATTTTATTTTTCACATTTATCACACTTGAATGTTTTGAATCGTGAAGCTCATTTTAAAATCTCAAATACCACCAAACTAAATATAAAAGTGAATTTTATAGATGGGTTTTATTTTTTTATGACTGGTGATCCAAACCAAAACCCACTGGCTCATTATCTTCACTGTAACTTGGTAATAGTTAAGGGGGTGACAGCCAGATAAGTTTGGATCGGCCCCAACCCCCTGAATAAATTTTATGTTCACTTGGTGTGAACTTGAGATTCTAAATTAAAATACAGTACACAAAATCAATCACAAAGTTGCAGAAATGGTTAAAAAAATCCAGCATGGAAGAAGGGCGTCGTCGGCGCCCCCTAGTAGGTCATTTCAGGTAATGCTGTTGAATCGTTGCCAATCACTTACCACGGATTCCTAATGCGCATGCGTAGATTTCAGCTTCTTCAAGGAAACGCCGCTGTAGTCTCGAGCCAATGAGTTACTACCGACTCAAGCCTCTCCCTTAGGCGAGCCATAAAAGCGTCACAAACCCAAGACGGGCTTGGCTCGCCCCCAGTCAAATTGACAAGGACGGTTTACAAGGCACGACAATTGTTTGACAATAGCGGACTTGTCTTGCGAGTATGGACAATGTCAAAGGGTTACTTCAGGCGCTGAAGCTGGACACCCTGTCTTCAGCCGCCGTCCTCGCCGGGGCTGCCGCCTGCATAACGGGAACTATGGTGGTGTTAGCCCGGGCGGTCGACGGCCGCCTGGACGCTCGGAGGAAGATGCAGAAAGCCAGAAATCTGAGACATGACAGCCTGCTGAGAGCTGAAGAGGCTGTCCTTCACTACAAGAACGCGGTGAGTTGAGATTTAAAAACGAAGTATGTATAAAAATGAATACGTTTTCTGTCGGTGATATTGGGCCGAGACTGGCTAAAACACATTATGTTTTGCCACAACGTTACATAGGTTAAAATCACAAGTAGTTCTCAAACTTTTTCGACGACGTCAGAAATCTGTTATTTTAACAATGTTTTAATTATTGGAGTTCATCGTGTGTTCCATGTGCATTGCAGCCATGTGCTTCCCACCTTGTGCGCACGGAGGTACTTGTATGCGCTGGAACAAATGTTTATGTTCTCCTGGTTGGACTGGAGAAGGCTGCCACACAGGTACTCTATGGCTTGTGTGATTTTATGACATGTCATGAATTGTTTCTGTTGCATCACATACTTGAGTCAGTGGCAGTATATGTGACTCCTTGTCAACATTCCGCTGTTATGGTTCAAGTGCCTTTTTCAATTCATTCTGTTTTGC